GCAGCGCGGGGGGAGGGGTGGGGCAGTATAAGGGGAGATATCCCGACTTATCAGGAAGCGCCCGTCTGCCTCTCCCCCCTGCTCCCTCTCGCTCTTCCAGGGGAAGGGAGAGAGGGGGGAGGGGGCGGAATCAGATTGGAGAGTGTAGCCCAGCACGACCTGCAGGCCCTACCAGCAACACGACTCCACTAACCCCTCGCCCCCCGTCCTGCGCCTTTTTCATGACGCGAAATCAGATTCAAAACTCTGTGAACTTTCGTTCGCTGCCATGGCTCAGGTCTAGCTGGATATCTACCCCTACCGCGTGACGGGTCTCGTGCGCCGGATAGTCCGACAATTCAATATTTCCTCCCCCAAATGCACTGTTACCTGGTGGTATGTAAACGTTTTTAGTAACTATTCTGGTATTTAATCAATTCTTTGTCCCTATTTGTTTTTGGTCGATAACGCCGCCGGTCTTCAGAATCCTCTGCTATCTCACGGGGAGCAGAGCGCCGGCTTTATTACCAAACTCGATTAGCACCCCCCTGTCCCCCGCCCCTCTCCTATTTCTCTCTGTTAAACTCTCTCTTTTGCTCTCTCTCTCTCTTTCTTCGCGCTGCCGGATCCTCTGCCCCCACCTCCGTCCTCTTCTTTATTTAACCCAAGTGTAATCCAAACTTTGCCGATTTCTTTCCAAGTGGTTTCGATGGTAAAAAAAAATGTCCTAATGGCTTCCGGTTTGCACAGGTTAGCGGTTGATTGCTATGCAAATATACCTCGATCCCAATTCAACTAACTACAAAGTCGTTACCCCTTTGGCACCGTCCCCTGCTGGGCTTCGACATTAAAACAGAATCTGCACGCCGAGTAGGGTTGTCCCGGAAGTCAGAGCTACACCCCACCAACAAACGAGACTCGACGAGAGCTTCAGGCTTGAGCAGAAGAAAAATAAAGTGCCGCGCGGCGCTTCTTGCTGCGACCGCCCTGCGTTCAAGTCTCCGTGCTGATCAAATATTTGACTCACTGTTTTTTTAGTCTGAGGTGCTTGTTATTCAAGTACAACGCACCTTAGTATATCGTACACGATAAGACTTTATAGATGATGGTGAGAAACAGTATGTAAAGGGTACTTATGCCCTCCATTCCTGTCAGACCATTGTATGGCTTGACAGATTGCGGGGAATAACTCCGACTTCATCTTTTGTTGTACACGAGTTCTTTGCTCAAGTAAGTACACTGGAAAATGTGCTCTAGCATCGCTCTTTGGAGTGCTACTGAGATCTGCGGAGTGGTACTGCACTATTACTGCCTGTGTAAAGGCACTATGAAGGTGCAAAAACAGCACTATTCGGGGCACTTATGCCTTTCTATATGTATCTTTTCTCTAAGGCAATTCCAAGACGGTAGTTAGCAACTTTGTTTTTCCAATGTATGTGCGTATAACGCGGATGAATACTGGTAAACATGTGTAAGCACAGAATAAGACGTACTAAAGGTACGTAGTACAGTATACATGCATAAAACATTAAACAAATGTATATGGAGCTAGTTACTAAATGTGTATTGGTAGTTACAATATTGTATGTGAGCTCAGGTATGCACCCAGAAGTCCGGCGCTATTTACAAATAATTGTCCTTCAGACATTTACAGTGTATATCGCCATCGCCAAAACCACACATTGTTAACAGTTTACGAGTTTAAGTAACAGTCCCATCTAGGGAAAAAACTGTGCAAAATTTGCACAGCAACGTGAACAGATGATCATACTTGTTTCACGGTGTTCTACTGACGTGGCACACTTGTGTGGTTGTGTGCACATTTTTTATGTTTCGGCGCTGTCAAGCGCGTCAATTTTTGGTAATTTATGGTCATATTATTACAGGTGTCCTAACTTAAACATAATGGACCAAGATACGAGGACCGATTACTGTAAAATCGCATGAGTACTCATGAATTGCAAACGAGTACTCCCTTCACAGCGCCTACCCGCTCACTGCCTGCCTACATGCCTATGACGCTTCACGATGGACGACTGACAACTTTATGCACGAGTGCTGTAGGGTGAGTACAGGATGAGAACTTGAACGTGAATCTGATGAGTTCAGGAAGAAATGGCTGAACGCGTATGGACATTGACGGAGTACACGTACTCATGAGTGAGTACATCACCGAGAGTATGCGAGTATGAACAGCTGAGCACACTTTGAGCACGAGTAAAATTTGATTGTATACACACTCGAGTACGGTAATGATCCAATCGTTACCTTAATGTTTCAGGTCATTGATCGAAAGACGAAAAATCTAAATCAAGAATCTATCTTGAAAGCAGATGATACAAATTTGAGAATAGGTCTGTTTTCTAATTTTCTCTCATACTAAGGTGTCATTTGTTTATGGCTGCTTGTTATTACTTGCAATTTTGTAATTCGGCGGACTAGCGGCGTTGATGAGCTAAGGGCGGGGCAGAGCAGAAGAGCGGCCGCTGTCGGTGGCTTAGTATTGTCTGGTATTGTAGTTGTACAGGGACGTTGCCTGCCGCCTGCCCTGCCCTGCCTGACGCACTATTGTTGGGTAGAGGAAGGGGCCTGAAGCGCGACACTCGGACAGTCACTCACTGATTCCCCTAGCGCTAAATAAATTGTTTTCTGGTCTCCGCTTGTTTCTCTGTCCTTTTCGAGAGTAAAAGCAGGCTGACACCTTAAAGTTACTTATATATTCTTTATGTTTAGTCAAAAGGTTTTTTAAGGTATCATCTGCTAAAAAGACCCACATGGTAATTGCAAGTACGCAGTCCAGATACATACATGTATACTGTGGGCACTGTGCGGGGTAAAACATTTTGTATCGAGCATGCAATAATACTCGCGTCGCGCGCCTGCGCGCTAATGGTCACGGCGATTTGTAACTGCGGTGTGGGGGAGGGAGGGGGAAGTCCCAGCCAGCAGCCCCACATCAACACCTCTCAGCCGGAGGATTATCGCACATTCTATCGCACAATGGGGCTGGTGGCGGCGCGAGGCGCGGGAGGGGTTGAGTCTGGGGCTGG